CTTATAAATATTAAATTTTCTTTGTTATATACGCGTATGCATGAGTATTATATTCAATGTTTAGGAATTCCCTGTTCACCCTTTCCACCCTCGTTCCGCCCTCACAATCCCCTAGACAGCTTAGTTTTGTTGCCGCTCTTTTCTCTTTTTTATTTTTTCTCTCTTTCTCTCTTCTATTTTATATAAATCTATATATATATATATATATTTGTTCTTGTTCTTGTTGTTGTTGTTGTTATGATTTAATTCCTTTGATAATCGGCTTTAAAAGTCATTGTAACTCTGCTCAATGTCTTTGCATGTATGAGTGTGTAATTATTTTGTGCTCTATTTCTTATTCGAAGATATATGTACGAATGTATTTCTAGTTCAATGATTTGAGTTGTGTAACATTATGCTCTGCAGCTGCTTTTTAGGCTGTAAAAGCACACAAAACACAGTAAAGTTGACTTCTTTTCCTTTTGTCTTTTTCTCAAAGTGTATGAAAAATTGTTTAAAATTAAAGAAAAGTATAAAAACAAAAAAAAAAAAAAATAATAATAATAATAATAATAATAATGATAATAATAATAATAATACAAAGTAGGATTATAAGTGGGTGTTGATGAGGCGTTCGCCACTCTTCACTACTACTGCGCCTCTGTCTTGCATTTTATCACAACGCAAAGTGTCTTATGCATGTGATAGAAACATGACATAATGCTCTCACAAATATTAAGTACTTAACTTGATGCATATTTAAGAGAAATAAATAACACAAAAAAAAAAAAAAAAAAAAAAAATTCCTTTAGCTTAAATGTAAATATGACGTTCTACGACATGTTCGCGTTCGTTCAGTCAGTACGTCTCTGCTCTCTTCTCAAACATATGCATGCGTTCGTGGAATTGCATTAAAAATAAAAAATAAAAATAAAAAACAAAGAAAGCAACTTTGTTGTTCTCTTTGTGCAGCGTAACTAACTGTTTCTGCCTTTTCAGGAAATGAAATTTGAGCAATTTTTCGAAGAAATTTGCCGATTGGATTGAGAGAGAGAGAAAGAGAGAGTTTTGAAATCCATCTAACTTTTAACACTGTTTATTACGGGTTCGTGCGGTGGTTTGTTCTTTCGGTGAGAAAGGTCAGGTTTAGACATTTAAATCGAAAAATCCGTTAAGTTCCCTAAGAAGATTTCAAATAATGATAATGATATTGATGATAATAACAACACGGTTACTACTCATCATTAACACTTCATTTTTATAATAACGTAACGTAAGGGAATGAAACAAAAAGTTATCCGGTTTTAAATTTGCTTCTCAAACTAAGGCGGTATGTTGTTCAACTTATTGTTCCCACATTTTTTTTTTAACTAAACGCAATATATCTACTATATCGGGGGTGTAGAATAGGCTTTACATTTCATATATGTGCATACAATGCTCCTGAAATAGATTTATTTTTTTATTTTTATTTTTATTTTTATTTTTTTTTTACATTTAATTACGAAAAATGCATTGTAATACGAGAAGGCGTTCCATTTAATAGAAATGTGGTATCTAGATATATATATTAATATATAAATAATATTTATTTAAGATTTCCTTCTTCTTCATTTATTGCTATATGCGTTGTTGTCTGTACAGTGTGTTATGAATAATAAAAACCGTTCGAACTACGAGATAATGTTATAAAAGCATTTGTTTTTTTTTTTTGAAAACATTGACACCATCTGTCCCATTTTTTGGTGAAGATCTGAATTTCGTCACGGAGAGACAATCGATCGGATGGTGCTGCCCATGAACGGATTTTTTTTTTTTTATGATATTCTGCTGGTGCTACCGTCACGTTCTTCAAAGAGCACGTCGTTGTTTGGCATATTGGTGCATATTGCGATTAGTTTTAGGCTTACTTGCTGCATAGGGTATTTTCGCGCCGGCTCTCAACGATGCACTAAATCTAAATAACATTGTCAAGTTTATTTTGTGTGAAGCACTAATCACTTTCCGAATCAAAGTTTGTCTGTCCGTCTGGTCTTTTTCGTTAAACCTACGCCTCGCTGTTTTTGAAATGGAACTTGATGAAATTCGGTGCACCGACAAGGATGATCCAAGCATGAACGCTATTCAAATTCGGTTCGGCTTGGAACATTTTTTTCGACCACTTCCTATGTAACGTCTTAGTTTGAAAAGTTGATCGTATCTTAAACGAATTGATATAGAGTGGACCACGGCCCACTATAATTTCTTTACTTTTTTTCCCTTTTTTGCTTTACGGTTCGTGGATCATCTTAATTTTTCATTACTCTTCAAGCTTCAGCAGGATGTCTTTTTCCACTCATTTTCTCTCATTTCCTCTCTGTTTCTTTTTATGCTTACCTGGCCATATTCTTCTTCTTCTCTTCTTTATTTCTTGTCACTTTGCGTCACTTTGCGTCACTTAGTCCATTGCAAACGTATTTCATCCTTATATTATTTTATATATTAATGTAATGGTATACTATGTGATCGTTTCCTTTTATCTTTGATTTGATTTTCTAATCAATTTTGGCATTCATAAGAGAGACTTCGATAAATCGTAAGCTACATCGAAAAGCAGCCTTGTAATGTTACGACAAACACTAAACACCAAATCTGCGACTAGCAGAGTCACATTTTTTGAACAAGTTAGATCAGATCAAACAGATGAAGGTCGCTAAGAAACACTTATCTTTAAACTTCTTAATATTTACACTATACTTTTACTATTCTTCTGTCGTTATTATAGCAAAGTATCGACGACTTTTTAGTTCATTTGAAAGCTATTGAATGAAGAATTACTGCATCGTGTGTTTCAACTGATCTATAGTATAGTATAGTATAGTAATAGTAGTAGTAGTAGTAGTAGCAGTACTGGTAGTATAATAACAACGTGCGACTTTGTCATATTTAGAGCGGTGTGATGTGTGTGTTTCTATTTCGAGTTAAATGCGAGTCCACTGTCTCTATTAATAAAATAAGTTTTTTAAAAAAAAAAAAAAAAAATTTATATATATATATATATATATGTTTTCGAAAGAAGCAAAAGATTAGGAAAAATAGTTGGCAAATTAGCATCAAAGGCGCCTCACATGCTAATGTGAATCTTGAAATCGTTTAATTGCATACTTGTTGGTTTGGCTATTGCGATGACTTGAAAAGCGATCAATTGATGATAAAAATGTGATGATATTGAGACGGACAGATTCTGTGGGGAATGGATGAATGGCGAATAATAGAAGTTGTAGATGAAATCGTATAGCGTTAGGAGTCATTTCTTTCTTTCGCCTTATAAAAGTGCCATAGTAAGCCTTTGCCTCTGTCTCTGCCTCTGCCTTTGCAATTATTCGATAAAATCAGAGCAGATAGTATACGAGATCTCGAATCAAAACAATTCCTCGATTTATCGATATTTTCATCGCATACGTAATATATATAAATATATATATATATAATTAAATGTTAACTCTGAAGACAAATGTTAAAAAGACTCATTTAATTGTCTAATTTTAATTATAAATAAATAAATAAACAACCAAACAAACAAACAAACAAAGAATTAATAATAATATTAAAAAAAAAAAAAAAAGCAGTCTTTCGTCGACATTTAAATACGTATGTATTTACATGTCTTTTTTTTTTTTTTTTTTTTTTCTTAAGCAATTAAAGGGTCAGTACACACACACACACACATACACACACACACACATGTTTCTATATCTATAGGCCCGTTCTCGTCATTGTCTGTTTTCTCGGTATTTTTGCTCACTTTCTTTCACGCTCGCCTTACTTAACAAAAATTTCTTTTGTGCCGTTTGTTTCTCTCGACTGTTTGTTGTAGGCTTATGGCTGTCTTTTCTTGTTTTTTTCTTGTTTAAATTGTGTATGCTTTAGTTACCAGGCGGAAGCTTTTTATTAAGTGTGCCGAGTTCTTGACGCCGTCTTTTCTGTATTTTCATGCCATTATTGTGAATTGTTTACTATTGCTTATGCATGCTACATATGATGCATGTGTGTCTTGACGTTGATTTTTCAGCGCAATTGCATAAATTTTGCACTAGTAATTGCCAGGGGTTCACAAATCTTAATTTATACCATCAGAAAATAAATAGATGCTACTTTTTTAAAATATTCTTTTCTTATTCTTTGTTCGTTCCCTGTACGGGCATTTTGTAAAGTAATATCTAAGAAGAATACTGATCGGCAAACCGATTGACATATGCTTGCTTGATTATAATGAGATTTTGTATCGCGCTATGTGCATGGAGGTCACTCTAGACATTTTTTGACTAATGCTATGCCAGGAGTCAAGGGAGAAAATATTTACGATCCCTTGAAAGTTTTTTTTTTTTTTCTTTGCTATAAATTGAAAATTAAAATTATTGCGAAAAAAATTGACATTTCATGTAAATAATACTAATTAAAGTAAGAAAACAGTGGCGATCCAATATTACTTACCATAATATTATTACTTATCCTTCTTATCATCTCCCTAACCTCATTGAAATTTTTATTTCAATAGTTCGACTTTTTTCGGACACTCAGTGGCCGTGTACAATTTTCGTGATGTATTCCCCAAAAATGTGCTTTATATCGCTCCTTTAATTTTTAACCTACGTCATAGCGTGCACCGAAGAGTTTGATTACAACGATTGTGCACTTGTGCACTTGAGCTGTTTGTTCTGATCGAATGGATTGATTTCTTTTTCCCAGATATTTCCCATAAATTTTGTTAATTAAATTCTGTTCTGGTCCATCATTAAGTAGTCCATGGTTAGATTTTTTCAACTACTAAAGGTATATTTATGACAAATGATGTAGCGACATAACCTCAAAAAATGTAAATGAAAAATATATATGGTGGTGGTGTCCGGCAAGCGTAATCATTGTCCAGCTTTCTCTTGTTAATCAACTTTATTTTTAAGTTCAACGAAAACAAAAACAAAAAAAAAAACAAAAAAAACGATAATTTTATTTTGATTTCGTATTATTTTTATGTCTTACAGAGGAAGAAATTGACGTGGTCTCGATTAATGACAAGAAATTACCTACAAATCCATCTGATAAAGATCGTCGTGCTCTGCAGAATAAAGTTGCTCATAAATTCAATGCGCGCATTATTAAGAATGCCAACGGTTTACGTACTATACCGCCACGTCGACGCGGTTCCTATGAGTTCCCCTATACACCGGCCAGTAGCAGCCCAGTAAAATCGGTTAATAATTCACGTTATCCGTCGCCGGCCAGTACACCGTATCAAAGTCAGTACACAACAAAGTATGTACAACAACAGCAACAATTAATGACTGTTATAGATAAAGTAAGTGCGCCTTGTGGTGCCCCCATAAATATATTTGCTGATAAATCGCGTAAACGTTTACTTGCGACCACCGGTGCGAATGGCTCTCTACTAGGCGTACAGAGTAGCAATAATATTAATAATAATACTAATACTAATGCTGGCTTAACAACAGTAAATGCATTGAATGGCGTTACCATTAGCATTAGAAATAGCGGTGGTAGTAATGATAGTAGTAGTAGTAGTAGCAGCGGTGGTATTGGTGGCAATGTAATGCCACCCAGTAAAAAGCATCGAGGCAAAAAAACAAAACATTACGTTGCAAATACAATTGTGACTTCCAGTGGTGTTGGTATTGGTGTTGGTGTTGGTGCTGCCACTATCTTGAAACGTCATTGTAGTTTAGATGAGTCCGCTGATACTATAGAGAAACGCCATTTACACAATGATATGGAAAGGCAGAGACGTATTGGTTTAAAGAATTTGTTTGAGGCTTTAAAAAAACAAATACCCAGCATTAAGGATAAGGAGCGGGCACCTAAGGTGAATATATTAAGGGAGGCGGCTAAATTATGCGAAGCTTTGACAAGCGAAGATCAACAATTGACCGAACAGAAAGCCAGGCTAAGAGAGGAATTACGCAAGAGACAGGAGCGTTTAACAATGCTAAGAGCTCAACGAGCTCGTCGCTTGGGTGGTGGCTTAATAGATTGATGATAATAATGATGATGATGATGATCATGATGATGATGATGGTGACGACGACGACAACAACGACGACGATGATGATGATGACAATGATGAGGACGACGATCATGAAAATGATGATGATGATGATGATGATGATGATGATGATGATGATGATGATACTAAAAAAGCGTCAAGGCATATATGTAAGCTTTTTTTTCCAATATTTAAATAACTTTTTGTTTTTAAAAACAAACTCTAAATCATTTATTAATTAGACTTAATTTCATTTGATATTCTGTTTCTTTAACCTTCTTATGCATTCTAAAAAAAAAAGATTGAGGTTTTCCTTTTTATTTTATTTTTTATTTCATTTTTTATTTCATTTAATCTTTAAGCCTGCTTAAAACTTTTGCATTTAAGAAAATTAGTTCATTATTATAGAAATTACAAAAACGAAAAAAGCAAAAAAAGCAAAAAAAAAAAAAAAAAGAAATGAACTCTGAAATATAGACCGGAGAAGATGTGAATATTAATTAAGTTTTCTTTGTTTCTCAAATTCAATTAAAATAATATATAGTTAATTACAAGAATTATTATTTTAAGGATTTTTTTCATTAAAGATTTCGTCTGTGTAATTAAGAAAGAATTATTTCTTTTTATAATTAATTATTAATTATTTTTATGCGCATTACTACTGCATATACATATATATAAATATATAGTTTCTTTTCTCTTTTTTTTTTTTTTTCAATTTTTTTGATTTATTTGTGATACGCCTAAAGATAAAATGAAATGCTAATAAACATTGAAAAATAACACTTAAGGGAGAAATTATTTGAAATGAATTTCAAAAAGGTATAAACGAGAAAGTTTACAATGCCCGTGACAGACAGACAGATGCGTGCAGGCACTTCGATGAGAATTTGAGTTTGTATGCAAGTCGGTCAAATAAATTCCAAATGTGAATTCAATTGGGACGAATTAAATGAAATATATTTATTATTAGTTTTTTTATTTTTATTAATTTTTTTTTTTTTTTTTTTTTTCTTAAATCCAAATCTTCCTAAAACAAAGCAAAAATCATACAATACGATGTCGATTCAAATTTAAATGTTACGTTATTTTTATTATTTCTTTTAAGTGTATATAATGTTTTTTCAATCAATTTTTTGTGAAAATTTTGTCGTTTCGTATTGCGAATAAAAATATATGCATATATATATATATATATATGCACATACACTTACATAACATATATCCCTATCTATTCTTACATACATAAAAACAACTCACATACTATTATATATATATATATATATATATATATATATATATATATATATTATAGAATATTTTATAGAATATTTATTTTTAGGTCAATCATAGATGATAACAGCAACAGCAACACAACGTATAATAATAATTTTTTTTATTTTTATTTTTCATTATTTAATTTAGAAAGCAAAATAAAACTGCTTTATAAATAAGAAAATTCGAAAAAAAAACGAGGTTAGAAAAAACTTTTCTAATCGATTAACTGTCGATGTTTTTTATTTTTTTATTTCGTATTAAATTTTATAAATAATTTTTTTTTTTTTTTTGCGTTATAGGTAAACAATAATATTTGAATATTTATAATGGTTGAAGAAAAAGAAAAAAAAAGCAACAAAAACGAAAACAATTGCGAATTAAGAGAACATTATTTTTATATATATACAAATTGTTGAGTTATTTTTGTTTTCTTAAAAAAAAAAAAAAAGAAATTTTTTTTTCTTCTTAATTTCAAATATTCTTCAGTAAAGTTACTTTTATTATTATTACTATAATTTTTTTTTTTTTTTTTTACAATATAAGTTTATGAGAATATTTTTAAGTCTGCAGTTTAAAGGCATAATAGCATAACTGCCATTCTATTTCAGTTCAAAATTTTTTTCACTTTAATAATAATTCTTATTGAAGGATTCGAAAAATAATTACTTTCTTATTTAAAATTTTTATTTTTATTTTTTTTTTCTTTTTAAATTTATTCTAAAGCCGATTAGTTCTTATAAGTGATAGCATAAATTTGAACATTTTTCGAGTTATGATGTTAACCTGCAGATATATAATAAATCTTTTACTAGAAGGCATAACTAACGTAAGCTGAAAAACATTTTTCACATTTCAAAATTTCATTATAATATTGATAATAATTAATATTCGTTGTTTATTATTATTAATTAATATTCGTTTGTTTTATGCATGAAAAGGAAAAATTAAATTTACTTCACAATTTAAACGGTTATGCCTTTTGCTTATGAATTACTTGTAATTACGGTAATAATCCTTCTGTAGTAATTGTAAATATTATTAAGCATTTATTAAAATTTTGCATAGGTCTTGAAAAGCAAGAGAAAGAAAGAATCCATAAATTAGGAATGTAATGCAAAAAACCACTTACATATTGAGAATATCGAAAGATTTGCGCGGGATGCTTCGAATATTAAACAAATATTATTATTTTTGTTTTTTTTTTTTGTTTCTATTATATTATCGAAGAAAAGTTTTTAAAGGGAGAAGGGAAGTAAAGTGTTCACACATTTTGATCTTTATAAGAAGCTTTTCATAAAAAAAAAAAGTCTTTCACCCGCATCTTCTTCAATAGCTGACTCTTTCAAGTTTATATACATTATATCGCCTTTTCGTTTATCCTTGGCACGTGAAAGCCAACTTGCTTTTGCTTATTTCGGGACTCTAGCAAAATATCTGAATATATATCAAGCCTTCACATTCAAATGTATTTAAGCGTATTCAAATCCATCGGAGAAATTGTCAAATTCCAAATAGTCTTATTTACTGCCTACAGCAGACAACCATTGTATACATTAAAAAAAAAAAAAAGAAAAAGAAAACGGCCTATAACTCTTAAATTATATAAACAAAAACTAATTGATAAATTAGTCCTAAAAAAATCTGCGCAATTAACTTTGAATTCAAGTACATTATAGCCACGATCTTCTCATATCCGATAAGTCGAGAAAATATTTTACGGCTCTCTATATAAATACATTTAAAATTATTAACGAGGGATATTATGACATAAATGTCTTAATATTCCTTTCAGGGTCTGAAAATTGAAAAAGTGTGAAGTAATGGTGAATAAGTTGCAGGAGCATTTGTTGTTGTTGCATGACAAGAAAAATTTTAAGGAAATTGGGGAAGAAAAAAACATTTTGTGTAGCAGCTCGTTTTTATAAATATATATATATATTTTTTTTCTGAAATAACAAAATGTTTATTACGCCACTTTTTAGCCGTTGATCGTAGCATTTAGCATAACTTAACTTAAGAACAGACTCGTTTTTTTGTTCAACAATTTGACCCAAAATTAAGTGTTTTAAATACTAAATCGGGGGGGAAAAATTTTAATTGTGTAAACTTTGTAATGTAACGAAAGCATTAAGGATTAATGATGTAGTCAAGCGCTTAAATATCTTTTAGTCCGATAAACAAGATAATCCCATGAATTGAATTTAAAAAAAAAAAAAAAAAAGAAAAGGGTTTATGTTTTTAAATGCCTTTGTTTTTATTTATTACAAAATTTTATTTTATTTTAATGTAAATAAAGAAATCTCGGACCGTTACCTAAACACAGCTTACCAAACTGTTAGCAATTAAAAAATAAACTTCTTTTTATACCATAACCTCAAAAAAAAAAACAAAAAGAATTATTTACATTAGGAAATATCAAGAGAAGGAAAAGAAAATGCAAAAAATAATAATAATAGTAAATAATAATAATAACAATAATAATAACAATAATAATAATAATAATAATAATAATAATAATAATAATAATAATAATGACAACAAAAACAACAACATAACCAAAAACAACCTCCACAAAATCCTCGCACTTTTTTACATATAAATTTATATACATATACACATAAATATATATACAAATACATATTTGTTTACAATTTTTTTTAGTTTTATAAAAACCATGATTTTTTTTATAGCGAAAAATCCCAAATATATAGTTTAAATAATACGCACATATATACAGATATATATATATATATATATATATATATATATTTATGTATATGTGAAAAACAATTGAAAATCAAAAAATTATGACAAAAAAAGAAAAAAAAATAGTAAAATATGAATTGTTTTCCAAAAATTTTTTGGTTTTTACCAAATTAGAATAAAATAAACGAAAAAAAAGAGAAAACCGCAACATTGATACCTCTTCTGTCTGTGTGTTTTTAAGTTTTTCTATTTAATTTTTTTAAATTATTATTTATATATATATATATATATACTATATATTATATTATATTATATATATATACCTTTTTACACACTTACTATGGCTACCTATACTTATGCATATAGTTATCAAATATAATAGAAAAAAAAAAAAAAAAAATGCGTTAATTTGTTTTATTATTATTATTATTATTATTTTTTTTACTTTTTTTTTTAAATTTAATTTGAAATTATTTTAATCCGAAAATATTTCGAAGACTGTCTGTACACAAAACTGTTACCATTACTGCTTCTCTATTACTATCACCACTAACCACCGTCATCTTACTTATTTACTATTGTCTATATATATTGTTTGAAAAAAAAAAAAGGCAAAAAAAAAAAACCAAAAAATCTGTAAATTTATTTTTCTTCATTGTTTTATTGTTTTTCTCTTTTTCTTTTTTACTTAACTGAATATTATTGTTTATGCTTCTCTTTCGATTGTAATGCAAACAAAGCTACTGCAATAGATGGAAACATTTTTTTTATTATATATATATATATTTTTTTTTTTTTTATATAAAATGTGTTTAATGTTTAATACAAAAAAAAAAAAAGGAAAAAAGAAAAGAGAGGAAAAGAAAAATTTAATGTAAACGAATTAAATCGTATATGCATAATTTCAATACTGTTAAAAAATACATAAACATTTTTTTAAATAAAAAAAATTGACATTTTTTGCTAAAATCATCGAAAATTTTTTTTAAGTTTTATTTAATTGGTTTTAATTAATTGGCTTCGATTTTAGTGACATATGTGCATAATAACGCGAAAAGCGTAAGAAATTCAGAATTGCATA